TAATATACACTTGCATCTTTTTTTCTCATTTACCTCTGAATTAATCACTTTTTTTACTATGTGTTCCATTTCTTTTTTTGCAGAGGTTTTCCACTCATTACCACGACTTTTCCATTCCATTTCCGTGAGTCCTCCAAACTGAAACTGTATGTGCTGTGGTTGTTCCAAACTAAGAAATGTTGTTATTGACCAAATAGAAGATTATCTTACAAAACTGGATGAGAAAACTGTTACGTAGAGGTGGTAAAATATGGTACTGACAATATGAGAAATAACGGTACCTTTAAACTCGCAAATTCACTCGCAAGTTTTTCAAATTCTGGTCTTGTTGCAGGTTTTTTTTTTTTTTTTTGAAAAAGTCACTTAGTAGATGTTTCACGTCAAAAGGTAAGTTTTTCGGCATTGAGAGCTTAATTTGCCTGGAAAGGTTTATAAAAGTCATTTTTTTGATTTTATAACGAGAATTTTAGAGTAACCATAGCAAAAAGAAAAAGAACAGACTTATTAAGAATTCCACGAAAACAGTGGTTTTCAATAAGGCCGGCATAAGGTTATACTCTTGTTAGAATTTCCCAAACGACTACTCCGAAACTCTACACGTCAACCTAAAAAGTAAATGCAATTTTTTTAAACAGGATTTACCGAAAAAAATAAACACTACTCTTTAGTAGAAAAAAAGTAATATTGGAAAAAAGACAAAGCTTTCTTCATACAAAACGCACTTTTTTATTGCACTCTTTAGCTTTCTACAGTTCTGGAGCTATGTAAGGGATTGTGCCACAGAAGGTCATATTCGCACTCTCTTCTTCTTTCCAAATCCGTGATTTGTCAAAATCACAAATTTTTAAAGTGTTTTTAGCACCAAGAAGAATGCTAAAACATAGAGTAGTAACATTTTGCTGGAATTTTTTTCACTAAATGCAGTTAAAAAGCTAAACGTACTTTGCCGGTTTCAAATCACGGTGAATTATATTTTTCAAGTGTAAGTAACTCATTCCATCAGCAATTTGTTTACCCCAATCACGAAAAGTTTCCATACTAATTATGTTGTTGCTGTGAACTAATTTTTTTAGTGATCCTCCTACACATAATTCCATTAGTAAATAAACATTACCTTTCTGACTGCTAATCCCTCTGCAATATTTATTTCTGTTCTCACAATATCACTGTATCAATAACTGCATTTTCCTGATTCAAAAGCATACGGTACAGAAAAAGGAAATTTGAAAATGTTAGAGCTTCAAAAGTAGGCAGAATTTTTAAAATTTATATACAGCCAATTTGAATTCAACATTATTCTGAATAACCTACATTTAAAATAGAGAAAAATTAAGAAACAGAAACGTTGAGAGATTCATATATATTCATATTGTATGATTCTTTTGAAGACTGTATGACATTAATGACGAATACCCGCCACATTAAAAAAGCCAATACCAGAACAGTAGCAGAAGTTTGAAAAAAATTTTCAAACGCTTAATTTCTCCTTGCTACGGTTGTTTCACCAAACCTAATAATTCCTTCATAAACTTTTTAGTTTTCAGTCTCAACTAAGCGACAAAATCATTCTAATCGCAAAATCTTTTCGTTCTTTCGGTAAGAATTTTGTAACAGTAACTGACTTTATTGATTTTAGCTTATGGTAATATATCGCTTACTTTAACCATATAACATGATGTTGCCTACTTCTTTGAAGGTTACTGCTTAAACAAGCAACAATTAGGTAGGCAAACAAATAAAAATCAACCAATTACTAAACAAAACTTACAAGTACTTCAATACATTCCGATGGTTCAAATTAACGAGATCAGCAAAACATTGCTCCTTCTCGACCAAAACTTTAATAGTTATATCTCTCTTTTCAAATGTTTCCTTACGAACAGCACCCTAACAACCATTACCGATTTTCTCATTCCAATTTATTGAAATCAATTCAGGGGAGACCTCGGCTATAAAAAAAATATGTCTCTCAAAGTAGAGATAATTTTGTCTGGAATGTATCAGGCTTTTTGCTAAAATTTAATAATTTGTCTTATGTCAAGAAAATTTAAAAGAGAAAAAAGTTCGGCCAGAAGGAGACTGAGTGTCAATCACAACTGCGCTATAAAAAGTTACAAATGCCACTCGCATAATTTCCACGACAGAATTTTCTGCATTATTAGGTACTTTCCCAGCTTAAAAAACCTAGGTTAAAAGTAGAGTTACCTAGTTCTTGGCTGCTCTGTTGATAAACTAGTTAACTAATTCCCCTTTTGTGCAGGTTGTTGAAGAGGAAATACTGCAGATTTCTGATGAAAAATGAAAATTTTGGATGGCCTGTTGATGAGAGAATTGAGAGGATATTTCAAACATCAACAAAAACGTGAATGAAAAACAGGACAGTATTAAAGTGTGTGATAATTTTTTTTAAAAGACCTCATGAAACGGCATTCATTGAAACAAAACAAAATATATCT